GTTGAAAGAACACTGGCCTGGCATGCAGAACCTTCAGGTTCTAAGACTCCCAGCTATGCTGTTGTCTTTTGGGGTAATGTCTCTTTACCTGTCTATAAAATGAGAGTTTATCAAGGCATGTTCTGAGGTTTCTTCTTGTGATTCTGTTTTATAACATTCTTTTTAAAAAATATTTGTTTTTATTCACGGAAGTTTCTTTTGGTGGGGTCATTCCTTTAGTTAACTATTTGCTGTGGAGCACCTGCTACAGGTCTGAGACAGCACAGGGCTCTGGGGCCACAGGGCCTCTTGCAGCCCCAGGGCAGCTGGGAGGTGGCCTGACATGGTCTGGAAGGAAGGAGAGGCTGTCCGGAGCCCGGCCTCCTGGGGGGTGGGGAGGGCGCTTTGGACACTGACACCCAAGCTCAGGTGGGAGGGAGGGTGTGAGAAGTGGGAGTCCCAGGCAGTGGACAGCAGGTACAGAGTCATCGAGATGAAGGTTCTTGGTGCATTTGCAGGACTAAGGGAAGGACCCTGCACCTGAGGCTCGGAGCAGCAGTTAGGAGGGGTTTCTTTGGAAATTGAAATTAAAGTGTAGGTTTCCTCTCTAGCAGTATAGATCAATGCAGTGTCTGGATTCTGACCAAGTTCAAATTCTGACTCTGCCACTCTCTGGGTAGCAATTTTCCTAACTTCTCTGAGCTTTTTTTTTTCTAATTTTTTTTTTGAGACAGAGTCTCACTCTGTCACCCAGGCTGGAATGCCGTGCTGTGATCATAGTTCACTACAGCCTTGACCTCCTGGGCTCAGATGATCCTCCCTCCTCAGCCTCCTGAGTAGCTGGGACCACGGGCACACACCATCACAACCACTAAGTTTTTATATTTTTCTTAGAGGCAAAATCTCGCTTTCTTCCCCACGCTGATCCCCAACTTCTGGGCCCAAGCGATCTTCCCATCTCAGCCTCCCAGAGTGCTGGGATTACCGGCATGAGCCACCTTACCTGGTCTGTTTTTAATTTTTTTTAATGGGATTAATATGGTTTTTATCAAGATTTAACAAACTACTGCTACTACACAGAAAGCTCTTAGCACAGTTTCTTTATAGAAGTAACCAAGAAGGGTAAATTATTATTCATTATTTTATGGCTTATACATAGCTTTTATTTCCTTGTTGATAGTGTAGTTTTATACAGTTAATGTGGTAGGATCATTAATATTCTCCAGTAACATCTATTCTTTGGTAGAACTAATTGCTAAGTTTGTTAGTTGTCTGACTAAAGACAGTTTTTTGAAGAGTGTCTGGCTATTTTCTGTTACTTTAAAACACCATGTTCTCAACCCATAAAATACACAGTGGTCCTCAGAAGATCTTTTGAAACCCATGATCTTGTATGAAAAGTATTGAATGTATTAGACTATAGATATCTTCAGGTTCCAAAACTATCTGTTACCCCAAAGCTTGGGAACTACTGCTTTAAACTTAATGTTTTCGAGTCCGTTCCAGCCTGGGCCTGCAGATGCTGTATAACTAACTGTGGGATCGAGGCTGCCTATTCCTTCTGGACTCTGAGGTGCTTGAAAATAGCTCATATGCAGTGACTCTGGTCATTGGGCTTGGCTATGACCCAGTGTGGACCTGTTCATCCAAGGCAGCTATTGTGCACAGAAATGGCATATTTGATTATGTCATACATATTTTTTCTGTAACTGTATAATTCTTTATTAACATTCTCTGAGTAGCTGTTGTACAATGTAAATTTTTAATAAGCTCATATTGCTAGCCTAAAAGAATTACTTGGGGGAAAATGTGGTTCATGTTCAAAGAAAAGTAAGTACTAGGCACAAACTTGTCATCTCTAGATTGAACCGTTTTCCATTACTGCCTTTAACTTTGGTTTTTCTACCTGCCTAGTAGGACTCCTCTACTTTTTCATACCAGTTTTCAGGGCGAGGGGTAGGAGGGATGCATTTCCACCTCTAGAGCAGGTGCCGATTAACCTTTCTAGAACTAACTATTGAGGCTGTTATTTTGCCAAAATTAGCCTCAGGAAAGTCCTCAGCAGCCTGTTTCTTTATGTTTATTTTCCTAGGTTAGCAATGGAAAGATTAGGTGGGGGAGTGGGAGAAGGGAGGGCTCTGCCAGGTGTGTTTCTCTTACCTGGGCACAAACTCTGCCAGGCTGTCTTTGAAATAGCAAGAGTCCTCTTGATAATTAGCTCTCAACTCCAGGCAGTTCCCCCCCTGCCTTATCCTTTCAGTGATGGCCTCTTTTCTAGCAGGAATGGGAGGAGAAGATGACTGCTTAATAGAAAAAGTTGGCCATATCAGGGATTCTTAAAAAAAGATGGTTATATTTCTTTTTTTTTATTTTATTTTTGAGATGAAGTCTTGCTCCATCACCCAGGCTGGGTATAGTGGCGTGATCTCGCCTCACTGCAACCTCTACCTCCCAGGTTCAAGCTATTCTCTGCCTCAGCCTCCCAGATAGCTGGGATTACAGGCATGTGCCACCACACCTGGATAATTTTTGTATTTTAGTTGAGATGGAGTTTCATCATGTTGGCCAGGCTGGTCTTGAACTCCTGGCCTTAAGTGATCCCCCCGCCTCAGCCTCCCAAAGTGCTGGGATTGCAGGCGTGAGCCACCGCACCTGGCCAAGATGGCTACATTTCTAAAACTTCTAATTTTAATCAAAGAATGAATATTCATAGGCTGACCTGGTGATCTGAGCCAAGGCTTTGCCTTGCTTGACACGTGGACCCTCTGCCTTCATCCATAGATCACACTCATAAGGCCTCATCTACATTTCCAGGTTCACTGTCTTATGTGGAGTGAGAAGACTTATATGTCAGGCAATGCAAATGTAAGCCCTTGTCATTTTTTACAGTGTGTTTACAGTATTTTCTGCTTGTCTTATCTACTCCTAATTTGACAGCTGTATTTTATTAACTCATTTTTATTGAATCTTTCTGAAGAATTCAAACTAACATTCAGAAATAATAGCACAGGACCTGACTCTTAGTAAGCAGGTAACTCCTGTTGGGAATAGCTGTGCACGAGCCTCCTTCTGGATAGGGCAAAATGGGAGAGTGACTGAGGAAAAGTTGCCTAACTTCTTTAGGTATTGGTTTGCTTATCGGTAAAATGAGGATAAGAATCTTACTTGGTTGAGTTGGTGTGGGAACTGAATCACATGTGAAAGCTACTTCCCTGTCCCTGGCCTGTTATAAGAACTCAAAAAATGTAGCTATTATTTTTATTATCAATATCATCCCAACAACTCCCCTTACCACTGTTATTCCTAGAGAGTAGCCTCTTCGCTCTGAGTGTTCATTATGCCCTGGGGTTAGTCAGTGTGTTTTATGGAGTGGATGGAAAGATTAAATTAATTCAGTGGTTGGTGGTGTTGGAGAGCATTCTTGGTAAAATGCATAGTCTTAAAGTGAATTTACTCATTATGCGTTTAGTAATGTGCCAGGGCACATAGTAGGTGCTCATTAAACATATAATGAATAAATTTACTTTAAGACTGCATTTTACCAAGCCTATGTGCTAGGCTTGGAGAATCCAACAGTAACTGGACACAGTTTTGCCCTCAGGAGCGTTTATTGTGTAAGGACTTCTTGCAGATAAACAGTGAACTTCATGTTGCAGGAGGCTGGCACAGGTTGCCATCACCAGGGCACTTGAGGTGTGAGGAGAGTGGGAAGGCAAGCCGTTCTGAAGAGGCTGCACCCTAGCTGAGACCTTAGGTCTAAATGGGAGAGAGTAGATAGGGAACAGATCTTCAGAATGCTGTGGGGGATGTGAAACATGGGAGTAAGTGAAGGGAGGTAAACAATGTCAAGGTCGGCCAGATCCTGCAGGTCTTCCCATGCGTGGTCCCACTTACTCCAGCATCCTGATGGCACAAGGGAGGGGTCTCATCCCACCCTCAAGATGAGAATACAGAAGTGTGGACAGGTGACGTGACGAACTCTGGCCACACAGCAGTGAGTAGTAGTTGTGGGATTCATCCCGTTCCAGGTGTGTTTGACTCCAGAGCCCATGAATTCAACTACCCACTGCACAAGAGGGAAAAGAGCAGGAGAGGAAGAGGGGCTGGGCATGGTGGCTCATGCCTGTAATCCCAGCACTTTGGGAGGCCAAGGCAGGTGGATTACCTGAGGTCTGGAGTTCAAGACCAGCCTGGCCAACATGATGAAACCCTGTCTGTACTAAAAATACAAAAAATTAGCTAGATGTGATGGCACATGCCTGTAATCCCAGCTACTCGGGGAGCCTGAGGCAGGAGAATCACTTGAACCCGGGAGGCAGAGGTTGCAGTGAGCTGAGATTGGGCCACTGCACTCCAGCCTGCGCAGCAAAGTGAGACTCCGTCTCAGGGAAAAAAAAAAAAAAAAAAAGAAGAGGAAGGATGATGATTGGCTCATTTTTGGCCAGAAGGAGTTGGAGGAACTTGTTGGATACCTGTGTGGAGAGGTGTGGTTGGGTGTTGTGGGGCCACAGATATGGATGGATGGGAATGTATGTCATGGCCTCTATGAGGCTACATGAGTACGTTTAGAACAGAACAGATGTGGAGTGGACTTTCTGTCAGAGTCTTGCTAACAAGGCCAAACTGATTTGTTTTTCCTTCAACTGCTTTAACCTGTTTGCACAGCCCTGCGTGGTGAGCAGGGCTTCTTAAACAGCAGGGCTTTCTTAGAGGTGAGCATCTGCTCCCTTGCTGAGTTCTTCAGTAGGGGAGTGGTTCCCTTCACTCATGCATTAGACAGACTGCACTAAAAGAAAGGCGTTCGGCTGTTCTTTGTTACTCTGGTACCTGTTACTTTTCTTATGGGGTTCTTCAACTGACCATTTCATTTTGGCTGAATTCTCAACGTTGCAATTCTTAGAGACTTCAGCTGTGAAAGCAGAACGCATGCCACAAGGCCATGTTTTTGCCCAAGTGTGACTTGTCACAGTTGATACACACTTTTGAGTGTGGGTTCCCCCCACTCCACTCTTCCTTTTTAGATGGATTTGAAGACTGTGGTCCAGATTGTGACAACATGAGAGTAACAGCCTTCTTGGACATTCCAGGCCAGGATAACCTGCCTCCACTCACTCGCCTGGAGAAGTATGCTTTCGGTGAGAACACCTTCAATCGGTAAGCCCAACAGGCCTGTGTATGTTGACAACTCTCTGTTGTGTGCTTTAAGCTGATACTTGGGGCCACTTCTCTGTGACAGCTTCGAGGAGACTTCATGAATGATGAGGTAGGTTGGATACAGATTGCCACCAGGATGCTGGGCTTCTATCTGAATGGTACCATCTTACTAGGCTTTTTCATTATTTTTGCTGTTGTTTTGCTGAACACCTGGTAAGCCAGGAAGGAAATGGTGATGAATTTCATGGTGTTTGAGTGATTAGGATTGCTAACTGGGTTTCTTTCACATATGCAGTACTCAGAAAAGTCATGCATTCCTTAATTGAGAAGCACCAAGAAGCATCAGTTGGAAGCATTGTCTGCCCGCTTTGTTTTTTGACTGCACTGTACATCAGGGACTTCGGTGGCAATGTGTTATGCCACGCTCTGTTGTCACTGTGTGCGGTGTTGGCAGGGTTCGACTCCAGGCCCACATTGGCTCAGCAGATGACCTTGATTCTTAGTATCTTGAAGAAAGCAGAAACTAAGGCTTCCCTTTCCATTTATGTGCTACCCAAACTTCTGTGAATCTGAAAGCATTCTCCCCTCCTTTCTCAGCAGAAAGTCTCTCTCCTCCTGTTCTGCCCTTTGACGGGCCCTCCGTCCCTGATCCCTCACCCCCCTCAGGTTTGCCTTCTGTCGTCTGTGTCTCCTGGCCTGTTACAGGTGCCTTTTCACCCCACTTGCAACCCTGGCTTGTCTTGTTCTAAACTATCCTCTGAGGTTTCTTCCCCAGGTAGTCCCTAACTACACCACTTGCCAAGAATTGATGGTACTCACATAGCCTCTTTCCTTACCTTCACTGGCTCTTACTTTTAAAAATTACATTCTGGCCGGGCGCGGTGGCTCAAGCCTGTAATCCCAGCACTTTGGGAGGCTGAGACGGGCGGATCACTAGGTCAGGAGATCGAGACCATCCTGGCTAACACGGTGAAACCCCGTCTCTACTAAAAAATACAAAAAACTAGCCG